CCTCAATTGTATAAACAATGCTCTCCAAACAAAAGAGCGTGTTTTTATAAAGTCGGTCAGTCCTCCAACATCCCAGCTAGCTCTGCGCGCGAGATCTCGCCAAGCAAGAACACACCCCCATGACTCCTCTCTTTGAATGGTCAAAAGAGGTTTTTGGATTCAGGGAAATCTCTCTGGGCTCCTCCTCCTTGCGCGTATAAAAATTTCTCAACAATTCGCTCGCTCGCTCCCCGGTTGCATTCATTCATTCATTCATTCATTCATTCATCACTCACTCACTCACTCACCGGAGCTCGCCAAAAGCTGTTTTAGCCCCCTTTGAAAATTGCGACTTTCTTTTGCTGGGAGAGCGAGAGAGAGTAATACGAGTCCTTGGTCTGTGGTACTTTGGTTTGGTGTTAGTTCGCTTCGGTCCCACCGCAACGAGAAGAAGAAAAAAAAAAAGCTCTTTTTCTCTCTCTTTTTTATTTTTTTTTTCACGAAGGGTCCCTCCGTCATCTCTATAAAATCCGTCCTTGTGGTAAACACCTCGCTCAAACACTCTTCTCTTTTTATCTCTTCTTTCTCTTCCATCTCTCAGGCTTGTGTGTGATCTTTCTTCCCAGAGTGAATAAGTTAGAGCTCGAGTTGAGCGATCACTCCATATCCCTTGCTTGTTGTCAAAGACGCTAGCACTCTTTTTCTCCCTTTGCCGGTGTGCTTTTCCCTGGGCTTTTGGTCTCGTGGACTACCTACAAATACAACACACACGCTCGCTCCACTGGATCGTACATATACACGCTCTAGTCTATACACAAAGCGACGCTCTAGGCATAGATAGGCTGCCAAACACCCTTGCTCGCTCGTCTGCTCGCCAATAGAGATCTCTTCTCTTTTCCTCCACACTTTTCTTTTGCTAGTGGTGGTGGTATGTCTCTTGTGCTTGGCGCCCCTCCTTTAGGCTCCCCTCATCATTTGGAACATCCATTCCTTGTTGATCCATTGTCTGTGGTGGTGTGGTGGTGCTGGTAATGGTGGTGGAAGGGGTCAAGAGAATTGCATGAAGCATTTCACCGCTGGAACGATAATCTGAGCTCTATATAGTGTTGCAGAGGAGAGAAGATCACACGCGCCCCGCAAAACTCGCAGCAACTTCGCAAAGGCAAGATGAATCTGGAGCACAAGGAGCGGGAGAAGCAAGCCTTGCAGTTCATCGAGAAGGTGACGAGCGAGGCGGCAGAAGTCCAGTCGGCGGTGCTGTCGGCCATCCTGGAGCGCAATGCTCACACCGAGTACCTCAAACGCCACGGCCTCAATGGCCGCACCGACAAGACCTCGTTCCGCCAATGCCTGCCCGTCATCACCTACGAGGACCTCGAGCCCGAGATCCAACGCATTGCCAATGGCGACACCTCGCCCATCCTCTCCGCCCATCCCATCTCCGAGTTCCTCACCAGGTAAGAAAGAAATTCTCGATCCTTCTTTCCATTTGCGATGTTGGGCGATGGCGATCTCGATGTTGGTACTCACAATTTTGCTCCTCTCAGCTCGGGAACGTCGGCTGGCCAGAGGAAACTCATGCCCACCATCTCGGAAGAATTCGAGCGCCGCTGCCTGCTCTACAGCCTCCTCATGCCCGTGATGAACCAGTGAGTGTGGTCTCGAGCTTGATCGTGCTCGAGCTAGCGATTGACAAACTCGTGCATGCGCTGCGCAGGTATCTCCCGGGACTGGATCAAGGCAAAGGGATGTACCTCTTCTTCATCAAATCCGAGGCCAAGACCCCGGGCGGCCTCCTCGCGCGCCCAGTGCTCACCAGCTACTACAAGAGCCGCTACTTCACGGAGCGCCCCTACGATCCCTGCAACGTCTACACGAGCCCCAACGAGACCGTGCTCTGCCCCGACGCGCACCAGAGCATGTACTGCCAGCTCCTGTGCGGCCTCCTCCAGCGCCATGAAGTTCTTCGCATGGGCGCGGTCTTCGCCTCGGGATTCCTGCGCGCCATCCGCTTCCTCGAGACCCACTGGCGGGAGCTGTGCGACGACATCCGCGCGGGCGGGCTCAACGAGCTGGTTGTGGACGCAGCGGCGCGCCGCGCGGTGCTGGCGCTCATGCCGCGCCCCGACCCGGCGCTGGCCGACGACATCGCCGAGCAGTGCCGCAAGGAGTCGTGGGCCGGCATCATCGCGCGGCTGTGGCCAAACACCAAGTATATCGACGTGATCGTCACCGGCACCATGGCGCAGTACATCCCCACGCTCGATTACTACTCCGGGGGGCTGCCGCTCGTGTGCACCATGTACGCTTCCTCTGAGTGCTACTTTGGGATCAATCTCCAGCCGCTGTGCCCGCCATCGGAAGTCTCGTACACTCTGCTGCCCAACATGGCGTACTTTGAGTTCTTGCCCGTGCTCCACCATGATTCCGACGAGGACTCCGCGGCTTCCTCCTCATCCGACCAGGACGATAACGTTGCCAAGAAGAAGATCAAGCCCAAGAGCGGCAAGAGCAAGGCGCCCAGGGTGCCGGATCCGTCCGAGCTGGTGGAGCTCGTGGACGTGAAGATGGGCCACGAGTACGAGCTCGTCATCACCACCTACGCAGGTAAGATCATCGATCTCGACTGATAGAGGGAAGCTTCTAAGCTCTCCTTTGGCGGATTGATTGATTGATTGATTGATTGATTGATCGTGACAGTGGGTGTGCTATATGTGTGTTCTTGGCAGCCATAGCTGAGTTTACTCTGGTCACCACCTTTGCTTTCTCTCTTCTTTTGTGGGGATCCTCCAAGGCTGATGATCACGCCTGTGATTCGACAGGGCTGTGCCGGTACCGCGTGGGCGACATCCTCCGCGTCACGGGCTTCCACAACTCGGCGCCCCAATTCGCCTTCGTGTGCCGCAAGAACGTCGTGCTGAGCATCGACTCGGACAAGACGGGCGAGGAGGATCTGGCCAAGGCCGTGCGCAGCGCCACCGCGGGCATCGAGTCCAGCTACGGCGCCCGGCTCATCGAGTACACGAGCTACGCCGACACCACCACCATCCCCGGCCACTACGTCCTCTTCTGGGAGCTCCGGAGCTCCTCGCCCATCCCGAAGGACGTGCTCGAGGAGTGCTGCCTGGCCATCGAGGAATCGCTGGACAGCGTCTACCGGCAGGGGAGAGTCTCGGATCGAAGCATCGGTCCTCTAGAGATCAAGGTGGTGAAGCCGGGGACTTTCGATCAGCTCATGGACTACGCGCTCAGCCGCGGGGCTTCCATCAACCAGTACAAGACCCCGCGCTGCGTCAAGTTCACGCCCATCGTGGAGCTCCTCAATGCCCGGGTGGTGAGCAGCTACTTCAGTCCCCGGTTGCCAAAGTGGTCGCCCGTGCGGCCGCAGTGGGCGAACTCCAATGGCGTGCATTGATCATCGAGAGCTTGGATTAGAACCATCCTCTTCTTTTGGATGGATGGATCGATCGAGCGAGCGAGAGAGAGAGAGAAGAGATCTCACTGTATGCACACTTGCTGCTGCTGCTGCTGCTGCTGCTGCTCCTGATAGACACCCTCTCGATCGATCGATCGATCGATATCCCAGCAGCAGCATGGCATGATTTGGCAAAAAGAAAATGAAATGTCCAGACCACCAACCATACTAAAAAACTTTGAAATCTATAATATCATCATGCTTTGGATCATAGCCTGGATCTTGATATGCTACAAAGCTTGTTTTACATGGATGCTCGTTTGTTTGGATATATTGAGATGAGATTCAAACGAGAGCTCGAAATCTTGGCTGGTCCACGTAGAAGTGACGTGGGCATGATACTTGCCACGTGACCAACACGTATGGCGCCCTAATGCTTAAACACCAAGACAAAAGCTCGTGTGTGTGTTGTGTAGCCAGCCAGCCAGGCCACATTGGACGCGCATGGGACTTTTTCCCAAGCTTTGTCTAGGGCAAGACGCAAAGAAAGTCCACAGAGCTTTCAGAGTTTGGTGGGATGGGAGAGAGTTATTACAACTTATAAGCAAGCAAGCAAGAGAGGGAGTGAAACTTGTTAGAATTCATGGAATTCGAGCAATGTAGTAAATTTGGTTATAGTTTCATGAGTGAAGACACACAGTGACAATGCTAAGTCCCTATAGAAGCTTCTTGGGGGAGTTGCAGAATTGAAAGTGGCATAGTTCACATAGTTGCCCACGAAGAAGTAACTTGAGAAGGGTCATGGCCAAGTTTGATAGCCAACATTGAAACAATTGAACTAGCCCAATTGTATGCTCACACTCCTGCTCTTAAGCAAAATGCTGGCCTTTCTCTGCAGATTTTTTTCCCATGAAATGTGGAATGGAATGGATGGAGAGTCCACTTCAAAAGTGAAGAGACAATGTTGACTGGTGTGGTAACTTGCTTCAGAAAGGGGGGCTGGGGGGGCTATCTAGTGGTAAAATGGTACTCCAACCAAACCCTCTGGATTAATGGTGGTCTGGATTAAACACAACAGTGCATGAGCTGGAAAGAGACCTGCTTTTGGAAGTCCCCCATTTACTTAATTGCACACCACCTTTTATTTTCTTGCTTTCTCTTTTTTCTCTTTCTTCTTCCAGCCAGCAACAGCAGCAGCAACAACAGTAGCAGAAAGTAGCAGGCCTTTCCTTGAAATCCCCCTCTCTTGCAACAAATCAAAGTCAAATTCCCAGAGAAAGTGATGCTCTTTCTTGCCCACAAGCAAAAGCTTCTCATTCTTCTTCTACTTCCTCCCCATTCAAGCCTGACGAGGGATTGCAATTGCTATGCAAGATGATGATGGTGTTTGTGTTGACAATGAACCAGGAAATTCTATTTAATAATGTAAAAGGTGGCAGGGGCTTGCTTGCTACGTCATGCATGTCGCTGATCACCCCGGCATCAAGTAAGGTGGCGGAGTTCAGAGTCAAAGTGGCCACGGGGGAGGCTGCGATGCGATGATGAGCCGAGATATCAATGTGTATCCCCTTTTTCTCTTTGTCCAAAGCAAGCAAAACCAAAGCGAGAAAAAAAATGGTTGAATCGTTCAATGAACTGTGCGTGGAGATAGAACCATACGGCCGTGGCTGGGGCAACTAGGCGACGGCCGTACCAGCATTAGCTCCAAAGCGTACATCTCTCTATAATGCGGAGAAAGTTGCGAGACGAGAGAAGAATCGTCCAATCAATTCAGCGCATGTGTTCTTCATTGGCAGTTGCGACGAGATCCAAATTCAGTGCGAGTTAAGTTCTCGAGCAACCAACTCGACCCAGCTTTTAGCGAGCAACTTACAACCTTTTCCTTTTTTTTTTGTTCCCTTGCTCGCTCGCCCGCTCAAATCAATCGAGCTTAGCTGTGCTTGCTTGTTTGACCGGCCTTTCTTTAATCGCGCCCCAATTGGAGCCGGACATTCTTTTACCCGACGCATGATCACTGCAGCGGTAGAAACACCGAGAGAGAAAACAAACTTAGTTTCTAACCATGCGAACAAACTCTCACCTTGATCGAAGCTTGCCTCAGCTCTTGAGAAAGAACCATTTCCGCCGCCTCGGTGCAGGAGCCACGCTCTTCTTCTTGTTGTTGCTCTCCTCGGAATCACTGGCTTTCTTGTCGTGGACCCTCTGCTGCGGTGACCGCGCCTGTTCCAACCACGAGCAGGAGCAACGAGGTGAGAAGTGCCGAGACATATAATACTAAGATAGCGAAGATATCATCTTTTTCTCTTTTGTTTCTATCTCTCCATGAGAAAGGAAGAAAAGAACGAGACAAGGACAGAAAGAAGGAATTGTATATCTTACTTGGACCAACAAGGCCTGATTCGCTGCTGCATCACGTAAACGCCGGTACTTTGCAATCTCGGCTTGCTCAGATCGTGCAACCGAGAGGGCTCCACCGTGCTGTTTTAGGACTCGTCGCAGCGTGGAAATCAGCTCCAGCCCAGACATTTGACCATTCACCTTTGAAAAAGGAAACACATGAGAAAAATAACATGAAAAACCAGCCAGCCAAGCCAAGGGGAAGAACAATAAAACAGAGGAGAAAAAGCTAGGCGTCAGACAAAGGGAAGAAGACCAACAAAGAACACAAAGCAAAAGTTGGCCAGGGAAAAATATCACAAAGAATCAGGACGAAAAAAAAAAAAAAAGAAAGCGTGGAAAAAGCGAGCCAAGTACCTGCCTGTTGCAACACCAACAAATGCTGTGGCGAGGACGCTCCAACGACAGCGCAAAAAGGAAAACCAGGAGCTCGCAAGCTTATGCTCATCTGGAAGCCTTCGCTGCTCCGGACGTCCGCTCCCCACGACACAAAGTTGGCGTTGACAAACTCCACCACCTCCTGCGAGCACAGAGTTCTCCGGCAAAACTCGAGAGATCCCGCGTTCTCGGATGAGTGGAGGTACGCAAACATGAGCTTGTAATCCTGGACGGCCCGGGACACCGCCTCCACGAAGCTCGACTTCTCGAAATCCGGTCGGCCATGGCCGAATTCCATGTCGAAGTTGCGCACGAACGTCATGGCTTCCATGGAGCCGGCGAAGGTCCTGCGCACCGGCGGCGCTCGCGACTGGCCGCGGCCGATGCCGCCGGCATCGAGGAGGAGGCGGCCGCCCTGGATCGCCTGCTGGACCACGAATCCGCCAGTGGCGCCGGTGTTCTTGGCGAGATCGCTCAGCGCGCCCAGTGCGCCCTCAGCCAATCCCACGGCATTGTGGACGAGGCTGGAGCTCCGGCGGATCACGCCAGTGGGGAGATTGATGACCGACCACATTACCCTAGCCTGGAGCAATCCCGTGAGAGCCGCGTTCCGGCTGCGCTGCTGCATTGCCATGAGGACGCCGCGCTGGGACGGGCGGCGCGCGAGAGCGGGAGAAGAGGCAACAGTGATGCCCTGGCGGGGCGGTGGCGGCGACGGTGGCGCCGCGGCTTCCTCCTCGTCTGCCATTTGCCCTAAATTCCACAGTCCCGCCCAATTTTTAAAATTCGATAAAAGTTGTCCGATAACTATAGCTTAAAAGGAGAAAGAAGAAAGGTTTAGGGTTTAGTTTGACATAGCGTTTGGTGGAATCGTCTAAGCTTCCTGGAGATTCTGTCAATGGTCTTCGATGTATGCCTCTAACTGGCATAGTTTTCTCAAAGGCAGAGGGTATTCCAGACAAATGCGAGCATGAAGAAGTGCTGAGATCGGCATATATTCCTTGACATGAGGGCACAAGGGACTCATGGGATGCTGTTGTGAAGTTTTACAACGGAGGAGTGTAAGGTCGTTTGAACAGTGGCAGGAGCTGGTGAGGGGTGGACAAGTAAAGAAGTGGGTCTTGGTGTCAAAAGAATATGACCAAATGATTCGGAACGTTGTTGGGTACTCACCTGAGCTCAAGGGGATCATCATTGACTGCATCAACAGCCTGAATGGCTCAAATCCACTTCTTAAGATGGACACAGTGCTTAAGGCAATTGGTGATGGCATTCTTGTGCAAACAGTTTATCTCGATGGTGTTCAGTTGTGCCCACTGCTACAGTCCATATTGCAGTTTAGGTTGATGGAAAGCTTAACAAGAACTCACATAGTTGATATGCCTCCCTCAACTAGCTTTTTAACGTTTTAACTGTAATGGGAGAAATGCATTAAAACAATATCTGAAATAACATTAAAAATACCTTATAAATGTTTATACAAAAATATTCTAAAACAAAAAAATACATGAACACAAATTTAATAACATTTTACCACTATATCATACATTTTCTCACAAAAGAAAAAAGATGGCATTTATATAAATTGTTAAATATTTTGAAAAACAAATTACCTCCCTTAGAGAGATTTCACATTCATCATCATTTAAATACAATCAAGACTCAAATGAATAAATGTAGAAAAATTTATCTGATTTAATTTTTATATTATAAATGCAAAATTATTCTAAAGTTTAAAAAATTTGTCACATTTAGTTATAAAGATTAGGTTTTTGTTATCATTTGAATTCAAAAACCTTAAAGGATTTATATCCATAACATAAATAAAATAGATATAAACTTCTCCACCATTTCTTTGCCTACTTAAGAATTTAATTTCTTAAAATACTAATTATCAATAATTTTGTATATGAATACAACTCCCCTATTTTGTTCTCATTTAAGTAGTATTCAAAACTTTATAGAAGGTATATTAACAAATAAAATTGCTGTGCGTTGCATTGCAGCAATGCTTGATTTACTTTTGTTTTTAAATATTTTTTATTAGGATATATAGTTTGTTATAATCTGTCCAATATGCAGGTGCTATTCCTGCTTTTATATATATTATATATTTTATCCATATATGCTCTATTAATTCATTATTACATGTATTGTGTTTTATTTTTTGTATGTATCCTTCTTTCTCTGTTGTTGTTTGAAGTGGTTTTGCTTCTTCTTTTTGGTAGTCAATATTAAAATCTCCTGTAATTATTACTGGTTTTTTATATCTATATTCTGTATATATTTTTGTAGTTGTTTTATGAATATTTGTATATTTGTTCCAGGTTTTCTTTGTAAATTTATTATCTGTAATTTTTAATTTTTTTTTCTAGTGATACATATGACATTGCCATTGTTTCTGTTTTTAAATGTTCTACTATTTCTGATTTATCATTTGTATGCAATATTGCTATATGTGGGGGTTGTTCATGTATATATGATTTATATTTATTAAAATATAAATCCTCATGTTTTTGTGTTCTTACTTCTTGCATACATGTAAATCTATTAAATCAATTTGCTATGGTGCTTTTGTTGTCCGTCAACTTGCCAAACTTAGGGTAGACAATAAACCAATTCTGTAGGTGACAAACTTTTTCAACCTTTTCAACCTTTTCATGCACTAACTCTCCTTATTGTAAACATCCTCACCAGATACTTCTCATCATCGTCCAAGCTGAAGCTAGAAGCAGCCTGACTGCACTCTTTGGCTGCTACAATCTCCCTCTGTCTATCACTTTAAAAAAGAGGAAGGAATAGGAATAGAAAGATTGTCATTTGCATGGACTCATGCATCCAAGTCAAAGCCCAATGTTTATGTCATGGTTTCCTCCAAAACTCAAGGTTCAGTCATTGTCCATCAATTGAGCCTCAATTTCCTCCAACAACTCCTCTTTGAAAAGACTCTCCCTCCTCCGGTGATCTTTGTTTTCTACCCACTGCCCACTCACATAATAGGGCCATACGGAGGAAGATCTAAGCTCCATCCATGGATGCGTTCTAGGTTGATTGATTGATTCCAGGCAATCAATCAATACTGCTGTGGTGGGTTTCTGATCCTGGATCGTGGCTCTCAGCTCAAACCTCTAAGGAGAGGCAATCTTTAATCAATTCACTAATCCAAATATGTTTTTCTTGACACTTCCCAGGTACAAGAGCAATCCATTGGAGCCAATGGAGAATGCAGCGGCTGGGAATGACAATAGCATCGTGATTGATCTCGAAGGGGTCCTGCTCAAATCCTTGAGCTGGTTTTAATACTTCATGTGTCGCAATTGAGGCTGGGAGCCCCCTATGAGCGGTCCTCCTCTTTTTCATTCTTCCCTTCATGTGGATCACTGGCTGCCTTGTCCATCCACCCCTGGAGGTCCAGATTCTCTGCTTCATGGTGGTGGCTGGATTGAGGACCTCAGCAATGGAACTTTGAGAGCTCCTTTGCAATTGCCATTCTTGACATAAAACCCAACCAATGCACTGTACATTATATGGTGTCTTTGGCTCATGCTCCAAAAACCACACATGCTCATGATGACACAAAGTGGTTAGAAAAGTTTATAAATTATAACCAAATTATGAAATTAATTAACCACCATTGGAAGATAGAATATCCAAGCATATTCTAGATATATTTAGTCCCCCTATAGATTTGCTTAAACAAACCAAAAAGATAAAAATAAAATATTAAATTAATATTATTTTAGTTATGAATTATTAGGATTGCTTAAAATGAGTTATAATTACTCTTTAATAGTTTTTCAATATGTAACAGTGGTAAAGGAAATTATTATAAAACATAATATAGGAATAATAATATTCAGAATTTATAATTAAAATAATAAATTATTTCTTTCAAAGAAGGTATAATGTTTTTTTAATTATTTAGATTATTTTCATGATGCTATATAAACAATTTTATAATATTTATCCATAAATAGATATTCTAGAAAACAAATATGACCATTATCTTAATTTTATATTAATTTAAATTTTGTTAGTTACTAAAAAATTTTAAATTTATTATTTTTAATTTTGAATAATAACATAAATGACAATGCCAAACCAAATAAAACTTCTATATATATTAAAGTAATGAAGAGTACTTAAAAGAGTAATTTCCGTACAAAAAAAGTAAATTAAGCTATATAGATATTTAACTATATCAAACCATGTATGCAAAATATGCAGTCATATGAGTTTAGACTCAAATGAAATTCTTAAATGGATTTCACTAAAGCAACTAAATCCTAACAGTAAAAAAGTAAACACTTCAAAATTAAATTGAAAATATTTATCTAAAAAACATCAGTAATTCTCAACGTTTAGATATCACTATTATGGCAAAAAGAATTTATGCAAAAAAATGCTACACACATAATCAAATATAAAGATTTTTATATATATCAAAACTAGTTATATTAAACCTTTTAAATGAAACTATAATTTTTATGCAATTAATATTTTAAATTTAAAGTAATGTAAATTTGGTACTTTATAAACATTTAAAATCCAAATATGATTTTATGGAGTGGTTAAATTATATATATTAATTTTAAATACTATGAAATTTTTAAATAACTTCTAATTTAAAAATATTTTGATTGGGTAGAAGTATGCTACCAAAGTACATTAAAGTCTGTAAGATAATAAAAGATTTTACAGTTTATATAAAAACTTCAACTCATTTTTATTCAAATATAAAAAAATTATTAGATTTTATTCTGAAAATACATATCCATATTATCAAAGATTTTCATAAATAAGAAAAAACAAATATCCTAAACATTATGAAATAGATTTATTGCAATTTTAATTTCTGATTTTTTATCATATATATATGCACCACTTTAGCATAAAATTATCTTTATAATAGACTTATTGATTTTAGATTAAAAATAAATCTTTAATACAAAAAATATTATAATCATGAACTTAATACTATAACTAAGAAAAACATTACATTAGCACTAAAATTTACATTGATATGCGACCCAAAGAATGCCTTTACCAAATTTTTATTAACGAAAAATAGGCTTTGAAATATTTTCCTCGGCCAATACTTAATAGTAAGATTTAACTTCCTGAATCAATTATTTCTCTTTAGTCAAGGTCTTAATCTAGATTAACAAACTCCTCCAATATATAAAAATAAAATTTATGTTTTAAAACAAAATACACAATTTAACTATTAACTATGATTTGTAAATTGCAACACCTCATTCAACATAAATATCATTTTGCACTTTCAAACAGGATGGGACATCTCTATGTGCTTGGCATTGAAGAACCACCTGCCACCCCGAAACAATCATCACTACCGCAATACTCCAAAATAAACCCTAAAACATGTTTTGATACAAAATGCCTACCCTTTATATTAGGAGTAGAAATTTCCTTTAAACACTATTCTCTTTTATTAATTTTAAATATTACTTTTTTCTTTTAAAAAAAACTTTTAAAATAATGAAAAAATTCATTCTAAATTTTTTATTATTACTAATTAATAAAATGGTAAGAAATTATAAGTCATGACATGTGTTTACTAATTTTTTATAGATAGTAAAACTTTAAAACAATAATATATATTTATTATATAATCATGAGTTTAGAGAAAAAATAAAAGAATTTTTAGTATTTTTTTCGAATGAGTACAAGAAAATACAGAAATTATTTTATAATATAATA